TTCTCACTCTCCCTCCCTCCCTCTTTCTTTCTTTCTTTCTTTCTTTCTTTCTTTCTTTTTTTTCTTTTCTTTCTTTCTTTTTCTTTCTTTCTTTTTCTTCCCACTCTCCCTCCCTCCATTTTTTCTTTCTTTCTTTTCTCTCTCCTGCCCTCCCTTCCTCCCTCTTTTCTTTCTTTCTTTTCTTTCTTTCTTTTCTTTCTTTCTTTCTTTCTTTCTTTCTTTCTTTCTTTCTTTCTTCTTTCTTTCTTCTTTCTTTCTTCTTTCTCTTTCTCTCTCTCTCTCTCTCTCTCACTCTTTCATTCTTCCTCCCCCCTAGTCTTTTTCTTTCTTTCTTTTTTCTCACTTTCTCTTTCTACCTTCCTCCCTAGTCTTTTTTCTTTCTTTTTCTTTCTTTCTTGCTCGCTCTTTCTCTCTCTCCCTCTCCCTCTCCCTCTCTCTCTCTCTCTCTCTCCTCAACTGAGCTGTATAGCTGCCACCTCCCTGCTATTTCCTGTGCCAAAGTTGTGTCACTGCCCAGGAATCCCAGCAGCAGACAAGGCAAGAGAGGTGGGGAAAAAAATCACATCGCATGGCCCTGGGAAACATCAGCTATGTAACATAAAGTAAGAAAAAAGAAAGATCAAAAAGAAAGATAAAAGTGTAGGAGAGGAAAAGAAATAAAAGAAACTAGGGAGCTTTAGGCCATGGGCAGTCCTTGAGTTATAACCATTTGTTTATTGACTGGTCAAAATTACAATGATGCTAATGAAATTCATTGAGTTCTTCCAACCACTGCAACATCCCCACTGTCGTGTGATCAGATTTTGGGCGCTGGGTCCCATGGTCCCATGGTCTCCACCTGCCACCTTCCCAGGGAGCTTCCCATTGGTAAAGATGGAAGATGGATTTGCCTAACATCTGAGTGATTCCCTTAATGACTGAGGCCAAACGCCTAAAATCAGGTGCAACTCACTTAGCAGCCACATTGCTTAGCAACAGCGTTCCAGTCCCAGCTGTGGTTATAAGTTGTGGACTAGCTATATCCCATTCGTGCCATTTCTCTCTCCTTCATCACAGTCACCCATTCCCCAGGTTTCCACATTCAGGCCTGTGTTCCCTTTAAGGCCTGGCCTGTTTAGAGGTAGGGAGCATAAAGTAGGCTCCCGTTGTGGCCATAAGCCGAGGACTATCTATACTCATCTTCAGAATTTGCAAGATGATCAGAGAGCCAAGAACTCATTCCAGAGTTCACTGCCTTCACTATGGATCTAAGAAATACATCCTCTCCCCTAGGGGTGGGCTTCAAAAATATTAGCAAAGGGTTCTCTGCCTGATTGCTGGGTGGGCGGGGCCATGGTGGGTGTGGTCTAGTCGGCCTCCTGCACCATGGCGAGCAGGGTTGCCCTCCCCGGGCTCCAGAGGCTTTCCTCGAGCCTCCGGACGGTGAAAATGGCCTCCCTGGGCTCCGGAGGCTCTATGGAAGCTGGAAACGGGCCCATTTCCAGCCTTCCCAAACTTCCGGGAGGCCCGTTTTTCGCCTTCCCTGAGCCACCATGTGCGCCGTGCACTTATCTGTATCCAAAACGGTCTGCGTGGGGACTCCTGGGAGGGGAGGGGAGGGGAGGGGTGGGCCGGGCCAGCCAGGAGTGGGATTTGAGGGTTCTCCGAACTGCACAGAATCTTAGCTGGGGGCTCTCTTGAACCCCTGCGAACCCCCAGTAGCTCCACCCCTGCAAGTCTCCCCCCTTCTACCACCAGCATCCTGCCACTCTAAAAAGCAGAGGAAAGGGTGCAGCGAGGATTATATTCGCACAATGCTGGAAAAATAAAGGTATACCACGAGATGAAGAGATAGTCAGGAACTATTAGACATTAGATTGTGCAGAAATGTATAGATTTTAATATTGAAAATGAAACAGAAAGAAGATGTAGAATATTATCAAACATGGAATCTATTTTACCAAAGGTTGGGGGGGGGGAAAGATTAAGAATGTAAATTTGTATTGTTAAGCACATTAAATACCCAGACAACACGGTGTTTATTAAGCACTAAGAAATGTATTTAATACAAAATCAATCAATAAATTTAAGAAAAAAATTAAAAAGGGGGAAATATGCAATATCTTCGGCAATTTCTAAATGATTCACAAAAATAACATTTCTAGAGAATAATCTCCCAAGAGGGAGTCTCTCATTGTTAAGTGTCTCTGGTTAAATTATTTTAAAGTTGCTTTAGGGCGACTCTGGGTCTTCTTCCTTCTATCAAGGCTGTTCAATTATTTCTCTGCATATATCTTACCTGTCTGTTTTGCTGCTGGATTTGTTCCCTGCTGTTTGAATAGATGTTTTGAACTAGAGAAACCCAGGTACCGAACCAGTCACAGGTAGCTTTCTTGCAAGTAAAAGGCTCCTTCCATTTCATTCTTATAACAGCCTTGGAGGTCGGGTGTGGTCAGAAAAGTTAAGATGGCAGACCACCGAAGAAGGTGACCAAGCTCATAACAGTGCAACTGTCTGTTTTTCTAGGTGCATTGCATAAAAAAAAAAAAACCAGAGCTTCGATCTCACCATCCCCTCCACAATAGCTGGGGAATTCTGGGAATTGAAGTCCAGAGAGCGCTTAAAATTGCTAAGGTGGAGAAACCCCAATGGAAACTGACAGCAGGCAGCTCCTAATTCTGCTGTCTGCTCTAAGGATGTTCTTTGTTGGGATCAATCAAGAGTGGTTTTTTTTTTTTTTGTCCACCCAGTCTAGGAATCTGTAGGTCAGCTTTGATCCGCCGATAAGTTTTTCAGTAATTTGCAAGCAATGGACTCCGGTTCTTGATTCCCATTTATGTGAACAGGGCCGGAAATGAATAACTGGGTATGGATTTCCTGCATGGAAAGAATGATTTCCATTCAGGCCTCCAGGAAGTTAAAACTAAATCCTGAATTCAGACCCTTCATTCAAAAGCCTGCAAGGTTCACACAGGGACTGGGTTGCTTGCAGTTTGGTAGGTTGTAGGAAGGGCGACAAACGAGCAATGCTGTCAGATAACAGATAATCAGAGTTGGAAGGGACCTTGTAGGACATCTAGTCCAACCCCCTGCCCAAGTAGGAGACCCTACACCATTTCTGACAGATGGCAGTCCAATCTCTTCTTGAAGGTCTCAAGTGATGGCGCTCCCACAACTTCCGAAGGCAAGCTGTTCCATTGGTTGATTAATGCGACAACCATTGGTTGTCACATTAAACAACAATACTGCTAATTTGGATGTGGCATGTTATGCGACTATCAGATTTTTTTTTTTACTAAGTTTAGGGTCTTTCAATCAGGAATTGGACTTGATTTCGCTTCAGTCCAATGGGATAGATCTCCTCTGATTTTTTTTTCTTAATCATTGCTCTGGTCTTTCCCCGTTACTTCCCTACCTTCTCCTGCAGGAGGCGCTGTCAGTTGTAAGTGAGGACCAGTCCATCTTCGACCCATCCTTTGCCTCCTCACACCTCTTGAAGACCGAGGTGTCTCCAGTGGACGATTATGGGAGCAAGGAAGAGCCAACATTGGAAGACGCCTCGTGGTCAGCCCAGGTCAATAGCCGAGGCCATATGGTGAAACAGGAGAACGAACAAGTCAATTGCTCCAGCAGGTTAGCAGCCTTGGAGAGCAGAAATCCAGATTTTGGACTGTTTCATTAAAGTTTGTTTCATTAAAGTTTGTTTCATTAAAGTTTGAAGTTGTGTCAACTTCCATTCCCAGAACTCCCCAGTCAGCCATGCAGCCTTTCAGCCCACCCCATTATGGCTGCTAGGGAATTCTGGGAGTTGAAATCCACAAAAGCTATTTAAGTTGCTGAGGTTGGGGAAACATTGCATTGGAAGTATATCCTGCCTTTATTTTGTAAAACTCACATTGGGATCCATAATCACCTTCTGTTTTCTTCACGAAAGCCACTCTCTGAGTTATTGCCCCAAAGACACTCAACCAGTTTCCATGCCTAAGAGAGAAGACAGACTCTCAGCCTCCCGGGTTCTAGTCCAGCACCTTCCCCATCACACCACACTGGCTTTTGGACTGGACAAGAGGGGCAGCCCAGGGAAGCTGACGTTGCCTTCAGGGCAAACAGGTTGGCAGGCATAATGTCAACTCGTAAAGGAGGGGGGGGGGAAAGGCCTGAGGGAGCAATGTGGCAGATGAAGGCCAGAAGCAATTCCAAGCTTATCTTGTGGAGATTGTAGCCTAGGCTACTGGATCTTCTGCGTGTTTAGTTGGAGAATCTGATATATGGCACACCCAGGGGGGTGGAGGGAAACAGGGTCATAGGTGATAGTAAATTACGTGTCTCAGAGTTGGCTTCATATGGGTTAGTGTCGGACATGTTGTTCCTAATAAGTCTTCGGAATTCTTTTGAAGCTTGGCTCGAGGCTCATGATTTAATTAGGGCAATCGTGGGAACCCTGACACTTGATTGATTTAGAATGATCTAGAAGACGGCGCTCCTAAATGCATCTCCTGCTAAAGGATGAGACTTAGAGGAGTAGTTCTACAGCAATGTTTTTTAACCTTGGCAACTTCTGGCCTTCAACACCGAGAGTTCTAGGAGTCGTCGTCCACATATCTTAAAGTTGCCAAAGTTGAGAAACATTTGTGCATAGGATGAAAAGAGATTTACAAGGGAAACCCTCATTGGCTTCACAACATCTATGGAGCCTTGGCAGATGCTCCTCAGATGCTCACCTTGCCCACCTTGAGGGAAGACTGCTACCCCCTTCTCCTATATACCTACCTCTCTCCCACCCCCAGCAGACAATCACCGGTGGAATGCAGTGCCACCCGCAGGAACAAAGTGGAAGCGGCGGTCGACACGTCCCAAGTGCCCTACCCAACCGGATACCCCAACCAACGTAGTCCCCCCGTTTCTTCGTCCAGGGAGGAGAAGGTCATTGTTCCAGCAGGTTGGTCCACCACCATTTGAGGATTCCACCTCGTTCTACCAGATTTCATGCCTTCCTTGTTGCACCCCCAACTTAGCAGCTTCCGAGGCCTGCTTTAGGTCCTCTGGCCATGGACCTCTTTCGCTTCTTACTCCAATCTCTCCTCTCCCCCTCACAGACCCGGGTGTTTGGAGCTGCGACCACGTCCGTCAGTGGCTGGACTGGGCAGTGAAGGAGTATGGCCTTCCCGACATCGAAACCAGCCTCTTTCAGCACATAGATGGAAAGGAACTTTGCAAACTTGGGAAGGAAGGGTTCCTCCGCCTCACTTCGCCCTACAACACCGAAATCTTGCTGTCTCACCTCACCTACCTGCGCCAAAGTAAGACCATGAACAAGGTTGTGGAAGTCAGGGGGGGACCGGGGATGTGATGCCAAGTTTCTTTAAAAAGGGGAGTTGTCTCGGCTGCAGGGTGAAAATCTGAATCCCGAAATGTGGAGAATGTCTTTATTAGGTTTGTTTTTATCCCGTGTCTTTATTACTATATAAATAAAGTGTTTGAGCACACCTAATACTCATTTCTCCTATTTTCCCCACAACAATTTTGTGAGGTGGCACAGGCAGAATGTGTGAGAGTTATTAGCCCAAAGTCCCCCAGCTGGCTTTCATGGCTGAGGTGGGACTAGAACTCACCGTCGCCTGGTGATTGGCCCAGTCACTCAACCGCTTTCAATGCAGAGGTGGGACTAGAACTCACCGTCACCTGGTGATTGGCCCAAAATCACTCAACCGCTTTCAATGCAGAGGTGGGACTAGAACTCACCGTTGCCTGGTGCTACAACCAAACTGGCTCAGTTTGAATCCCATCATAAAACCCGTTTACTTCTGCAAGCAAAACACTGCTGGCCCTCCATAATAATCCTGATTTATCCTTATTTTTTTAAAACCTTGCATGCAGAATTCTAACACCAGGCTTAGTCATTTACTCTGTTGCTGGAACTTTCGGCAAATGGGGTTTTGTATTTTTTTTTCATTGAAACAAAACGGAGCTTTTTCCTTTTCTCTTCATTCCTTCTTGTTTTCTTTCCTTCCTTCTTCCAGGCAGTCCCACTTTCTCTTATCCATCTCCACCGGTTATCAGCCAGCAGCCTCCTCCGCCTCCACCAAGGGTCCAAGTCAAAACTGGTGAGTTCATAACAAAAACCTACAGACTCATTTCAAAGGGCAGAATGGTGAGAAGAGGAAGTGAGGCTAAAGTTGGTAACAATGGCTTGCTTTCTTAGTAACCACTGACTCTGGAGTTTTTCACTCATTTTATTACTTTTGGTTTGTAGCAAAAAAAAAAAAAAAATGCCCCATGGGGAACAGTGGGTTCGCCTAACCACCACTGCACAAAGGGTTGTAAAATCAGGTGTGGTCATACAATGACCCGTTTTACAATCACGATGACAATCAGGCCTTCTCCATCCAAATCAGCATTTCTCCAACTGTGCAACTCAGCTGGGAAATTCTGGGAGTTGAAGTCCACCCATCTTAAAGTCGCCAAGGTTGAGAAACACTGATCTAAATGGGGTGGTGTTGTTTTTTTTTTGGGTTTTTGGTTTGTTTTGCCTAATATGTCATCTTCGCTCTTCATTTGATGTAGAATCTACATATGATGAAATCCGAAGAAGCAGCTGGGGCAGCAGCACAGTAAACACCACTCCCAAAGGTACAGCTCCTAATTTCACTCATACACCTTGAATTATATCATCCTGTGATTTATTTAGCTTTGGTTTAGGGTAAAGAGCAGTGGTTAGAATGCAGTGCTGCGGGCTGCTTTTATAGACTGCCGGCTGCCTGCAATTTGGCAGCTCGAACCTCACCAGGCTCAAGGTTGACTCAACCTTCCATCCTTCCAAAGGTCGGTAAAACAAGGACCCAAATTGTTGGGGGCAATAGGCTGACTCTGTAAACCGTTTAGAGAGGGCTGCAAAGCACTGTGAAGCATATATGTCTAGGTGCTTTTGCTGTGCTATTGCTAATGTGCCAAACTGACTACCATGATTTGCAAGCCACGTTCCAGGATTTTGTTATGCAAACTCAGTCAATTATTGTTTGTTCCATGAACCAGATCAAGGCTTAGCCTGTGTGAGCCTGTGTATGTCTGGGTTGACACCAGCTGGTAGATTGGGCCACAGTAGAGTTAGGTAGCTTGTGTGGACCTAATCATTGTACTGTGCATTTCAGGGTATATTGCGGAAAGTAAAATAAAATCAGACTAAATTCTGGAGTTGTCTAATGTGCACTTGGTGCTCTTCAAGAGACTGGATTTAGGTGGTTTTTCAAAGAGAATCTGCCAAGGTAGCCATTAGGTTCATCGGCTGTTTCTATGACATAAACTGTGATCACACAACATACTTGATCTGATTACTGAATTAAGCTACAGCCTTGATTTGCAGAATGTTTTGACCCATAATCGAAGGAAACAGGCTTGGTTTATGTGGCATGCTGGGATACAAATGAGCAAATCAAGACTAACACTAATCCAAAGTAGTACGCATATGTGAATGTAAGCGCCCTTTTAACTGAGCCAATTAAAGGTATTGTATGAACCCTGTCAGGAAATCTGAGTCTCTCTCTCTCTGTCATATGATTGGTTTGTTGTCTGCTTGACAACTTTAACATGTGTGGTCTTCGAATCTCAGAATTCCCAAGGCAGCAACGTCCAACACATGTTAAAGTTGTCAAGAGTGAATAACACTGGACTGGTGGGTTGTATAACCATATCCACCCCCCGAAATTGGAGTGAAGCATTGCTGTACCATTGAGCTTCTACTTTCATTCCAGAACTGGAATTTGCAATCTCAACACTCAGTGCTCATTTGTTAATGAGGACCATGAATGCAATAACCTTAATGCATTTGTGTCCAGCACATGGATTTCTTTGGTTCCTCTCTAACAGTGGTTGCCAATTGGTGGGTCACGGCCCACTGGTGGGCCGTGAGAAAATTTTGGTGGGCCGCAGAGAAATCTCACCCCAGAGCACCCCCACAAAGCAATTAATCCAGGCTGTGCAGAAACACAAGGCTGTGCCACCCACATGGCCAGCGGGAACCCTTCCCGCCCACTCACTCCTTAGCCAGTAAACTTGCCTGCTCAATTGCTATTTTTCCTTTTTCCGACCATCATCTGTTTGGGAGATTTAGATTAGCTAGGAAGCAGGAAATGGTTGGATGTCTTGTTTTCTAGCTAGTCTTGAGATCTTCGGCTCGACCTCCCTTAGGACTGAAGGTTTGCTTGCAAGCAAATTCAGTGCAGACTCACGACAAGCAAATTTGAGAGACTGAGCTAGCCGATGGCAGATAGATCACTGAATGATTCTGTGAGCAACTCAATCTGCCTGCTTTGCCTGATTTTGGGTAAAAGTTGCTTTTTTTAATAAAAAAATCAATATTTACATGCATAGTGTGTTGTGAGTTAATTTTATGAGTTTGCTTGTAAGCAAATTTTATGTGACAGACCGACCTAGCCAATGGCAGATAGATAGATCTCTGAATGAATCTGTGATTCTGTGAGCAACTCAATCTGCCTTCTTTGCCTGATTTTGGGTAAAAGTTGCTCTTTTTTAATAAAAAAATCAATATTTATATAAATATTTATATTTACATACAAGCCATGCCCAGCCAGTCACATGACTACCAAGCCACACCCACAAATTAGGCCACGCCCACAGAACCGGTTAGTGGTCCCTGGGATCTAAAATTATGAGTTTGGTGGTCCCTGAGGTCCAAAAGGTTGGCGACCCCTGCTCTATAATGTACAGGTGGGTAGATTGAAGGGATTCTTGGTCTGATCCTGCTTGGCTCCCACCCAAGCAGTGGGGACATCCCTTATTAAAGGAATGGCATCAGAGCCGCCACTTAGTTCTGCTTATTTTCATCTTCCACTTTGAAGGTTCCCCACCGCAGATCCAAACTGTGAGCCGGATCCCGGATTCTACACGCATGGCACCTGGTAGGCCAATACCTCTGGCCCCTTGTCCTCCACCATCTTCTGCTTTTCTTTGGTGGGAATCATCAGCCTGCATTGCTCTGCCTTTGCCAGGGGCACAATACATAAGGCTTGGCAAATACTTGTGTGCCTTGCCATGCAGGAAAACAGCTTCCGTTTGTGTCGTGTCGCCCCCCCCCCCCAATCTTGGGAGCAAATTAATTGCTTTGAAATTAGCTGCTAACCCAGAAGTGTGGCAATGAGAATAAAGCACTCGTTTCTTGAGTTAATCATACGTTTGGCCTGTACCATTTCATCTGGAGAGGGGAAAGGGTTAGCTAATTATCTGTACTCCCTGCTCCCAGAAAGCAAGTTTGACAAGCCAGAAGGTAGAGCCACGTAAGATTTCAGTTCTGTCGGTTGCAACTTGTCTGCTGGATTGTAGCCTGAATCAGGGGCCTATCATAGCAACTAGGGACAGGGCTAGGAGAATTTGTGAGCTCTTCCAAATATGGGGAAGAGATGGGGAAGGAAATCCTCCCAATGCACCCAATTCACTCAATTGCATCCAATTCTAGCTCCTCTTATTTCCTTCTTCTTCCCAGTAGATCCATACCAAGTCCTTGGGCCCACTAGCAGCCGCTTGGCAAACCCAGGTGAGCCATCCATCTTTTGTCCTGGGGGGAGAGTGGGTGCAACATTTAGCATCCAGTGGTCAGACCGGAGAAAGAATGTCTTCTCTCGGCCTGGAAAAGGAATGGAATGGGAGACTTCACCCACCGATAAGATGGTGGGAGAATTCCACTTTCAGACCTGCAAGATTTTTGTTCATGTAGAACTTAAAATAAAGTAGAAGGAACTCATCTGGTTGCGTTTCCTGTCTGGTCTACTTGGGAAAGTTGCCAGCTAGCCCCCTAAGTTCTCTCTTGGCCCCGCAGAAGGTGGGTTGGAGGAGTGCGAGCACCTCAGTCATCCCAGGTACAAGCTGAGGTTGATGCTCAAAACAGTTGTTCTGTCTCTCTCTGACAGGTAGCGGCCAGATCCAGCTGTGGCAATTCCTCCTGGAGTTGCTCTCGGACAGCAACAATGCCAGCTGCATTACCTGGGAGGGGACCAATGGGGAGTTCAAGATGACAGATCCCGACGAAGTGGCGCGACGTTGGGGCGAGCGCAAGAGCAAGCCCAACATGAACTATGACAAGCTGAGCCGGGCGCTGCGCTACTACTACGACAAGAACATCATGACCAAGGTGCACGGCAAACGCTACGCCTACAAGTTCGACTTCCAGGGCATCAACCAAGCCCAGCAGGGGCAGCCCGGCGAGCCGAGCCTTTACAAGTACCACCACACGGAACTGCCTTACCTGCCCCCCTACCACCAGCAGAAGGTTGGCTTCGGCCTGGGCCACAGCACGCAGATGCCTGCCTCATCCTCAGGGTTTTTCGGCCCACCTGCCCCGTATTGGAATTCCACAGGGGGAAATCTCTATCAGAACCCCACTGTGTCCAGGCAGGCTACCAACCACCTGGGCTCTTTCTTCTAACCTCCAAAAAGTCCTGGAGATACCGGAACTTCTGTACCAGGAGATCTCATTATACAAATGTCCACCGCACGCAGAAAGTGAAATACAGGGAATATCATCTTGAACGTATTCCGTGGCCATCATGCATAAAGAAGGCGAGGGGAGCAGTACCACTCCCTGCCACCAGCAGGCGCTGTTCTTCTGCGCTACCCAAACAATTTTGTGATCATCTAATCCAGGGGTGTCCAACCTTGGCAACTTTAAGACTTGTGGACTTCAACTCCCAGAATTCCTCAGCCAGCAAAGCTGGCTGAGGAATTCTGGGAGTTGAAGTCCACAAGTCTTAAAGTTGCCAAGGTTGGACACCCCTGATCTAATCCATTCCTGGAGTTAAACTGAAAGACTTTGCCAGCCAGATTTTGTGCCATCTTCGCCTGAATTTTGCAGATAGCCCGGCTCTCAGAATTATAGGAGACACAAATAAATTGCCTCAGCTTGCTTAATTCCTCCACACACCCCACACCCCCATCTAGTATTACACCATGTACATTATGGAAGGAGGAGTGGCGTGTTTCTTTGTATACGAAGTAGCGGCAAGGATGAGTTCTCACTTTAGGCCAGGATTCCTCAATCTTGGCAACTTGAAGTTGTGTGGACTTCAACTCCCAAAATCCCTCACTCATTCCCCACCCCCACCCCCAGCATTCTGGTTGACATCTTGCATCCTGACTGGGGAATTCTGGGAGTTGATGTTTACTCATCTTCAAGTTGCCCAGGTTGAGAAACATTACTGTAGCTATTGCATTACAGTCATTTTTAATCTTTTCAGAAGCGGAAGTCCTGTCTAGCCCAAATGTCCACCATTTTGGTGCTGCTGTGAGCCATTAAAATACTTAAGTTGCAGTACTGGGAGGCTTTGGGGAGCTGCCAAAACCTGAAAAATTATAGTTCAGAGTTTTCTTTAGCTAGATTTATTAAAACGTATGGGGGATAGCAAGAATTCCAGGAATTCCTTTCTCCATTTAAAACCAGTATGTCCCTAAGTATTTTAGGGAGATTTTCTGATTTTTTTTTTCTAACCACCTATACTCTAACCTAAGAGTGGACCTAAGAGGCCCATAATTCCCAGCTAGCTAGTTAAAATGTTTATTCTTTTGGAATCATGCTCAATTGGCCCAGACTGGCAAAGATTGAAGTTCTTGGGGAAAGAAAGAAGCAAAAAGTAACTACAGTTCCATTTGCTCTTATAAAGTGTAATTCTCCTTGGAATTTCAGAACTTTTCCTATGGTGACAACAGGGTGAACTAATTCTGAATTCGTTTTACTCATAATATAGATGGCTCAATGGAAGCACAATAAGCAGATACATTACTGAAGCTATAGGGTGGACTGAACAGTGGAAAAAATGGTTTTAGATGGTCCTCCCTAGAAAGAGCTACCTGCAAATTCAAAACTAACAGTACTATTACTGTGCTAGCTTTCTATTTATAGGAATACCTCATTATTATTATACACACTGGAATCCACAACCTCATTATTATTATACACACTGGAATCCACAACCTCAAGGCTGCAGTAGCATAGTACTCTATGATCCTATGGGTATCAAGTCAAATAGTCAGGTAGGGATGGTGTAGTAAGCAGGTATGGAGACTAAAGGATCTTGCTCCAACAGAAGAGTGTTTCCCAACCTCTGCAACTTTCAGACATGTGGACTTCAACTCCCAGAATTCACCATTCCCAGCACGTTGGCTGGGGAATTCTGGGACTTGAAGTGCACACGTCTTAAAGAAGCTGAAGTTCAGAAACACTGGGGTAGAGCAAAGGGGGAAAGTTACCGCTCACATACCAATGTGTCCTGGTGTGTCCCATTTCATCAAAAGCTTCTCTAAAACCATTAAATCAGGGGTCTTCAAACTTCGACAGCTTTAAGACTTGTGGGCTTCAACTCCCAGATTTCCTCCTCTAGTCAGGAATTCTGGGAGTTGAATTCCACAAGTCTTCAATTTGCCAAGTTTGAAGACCCTTGTATTAAACGATGGATGCCATCTAGACAAACCCTATCCAGTGTATAAATCTTGCACCTGCGGCTCAGACTAGACACGGTCCTGCTTGGAGAACCTCTAATGAGAATGCACCGCTGTCCAAGACAGATTGCAAGTCCTGTTGTAACTTTGGGTAATCAAATGGATGGTTGTAAGTCAAGGACTACCTGAATAGAAAACCTCATGCACCAAGGGATAGTGCCTGTAGCCCACAAAACCATGTCTGCAGCTATTCTAATGACCTTCTACAACAGAGATGTACAGTACTGCACTTAAAACTTGTGAATATTTTCCCCTCTCCAAGGCAACCACACCCACAATTCTCTGTTCTAGAACTCTCATCGTTTTGTACTTGTTTACTGTATATTAAAAGTTGTGTTGTGATTTAACGGATGGAACTCTGTGGATTTGATGGGGGAAGTCACGGGAACACAGGGGTGATGGTGGGGAAAGTAGCCTTGAAGGAATGTGGGGAACGTGCCCCTCTGAGTGCAAGGACCACAGTGTGGTCCTCAAATGCTGCAAGTAATGGATTTGTGCCAAATGTTAGGACACAAAGAGGGAGCGGTAGACTTTTGTGATGCTGGGACACATTGTTTTGGCCTCAATTAAGGTTTGCTGCAGGAGCTGCCACTGAGGAACCTCATAATAGCACTGGCACTTAAGACTTATATACCACTTCACAGTGCTTTACAACCCTAAGTGGTTTACAGGGTCAGCCTATTGCCCCCAACAATCTGGGTCCTCATTTTACTAATCTTGAAAGGAAGGAAAGCTGCGTTACTTTGAGCTGATGAGGATCGAACTCCAGGCTGTGAGCAGAGTTTAGTTGCAATACTGCATCACTGTGGCCCATAATCTTTCAATTGGTATGATAATGGAAAACAAACATAGTTCAAATAAACCTCTTTGTGAGGTTGGCATTCTTACCTATGCTGAACTTAATCCACTGTAGTTACTAAGATAGATAATGTCTATAAGGTAAAATGCCGAGCCCAGAAAACAACGAAATCCAAATAATTTTCCATGTGCTTTCATTTCTTCACCCACTGACATTCATACCTTACAGGTAGGGTTGACCAGAGAGAAGGCTTTGAAGACCAAAGATAAGGCAGGTGTGGGTCAGTAAGTTAAAAAAAAAAGTACTCATCCATTCTTGAGACTCTTTCAGATTTGATCCTCAAAACTATTTCCCTAAACCCTTCCACCTAAACCAGTATTGCTCCATTTTGGGAACTTTTAAAAATGTGTGGACTTCAACTCCCAGAATTCCTCAGCCAGCACTGGAGTTGAAGTCCAAGCATCTTCAAGTTCCCAAAGTTTAAAGATAAACGCTGGTTTAAGGATTTAAAAAGGTTTTTAAATTAGGTTTAAAAAGTTTAAACACTGGCTTAAGGATATAATCCCATTTGGTAGGAAGGCACTAAAGATAGTAAGAAACCTCTACATGGGGATTTTGGGAGGGCTTACATGATCTGGTTAAGACACAATCCCAGTCCGTGTTTGCACTGTACAGAAATACAAGAATTGTGGGCAAACAGGTCAAGAAAGCTGACCTGACCCAAATTTTCACCACGAAGAATCTCCCAAGACTGCTCACAGATTGCTTGCTAAAAGAAAAGAGATACCACCTCTGTCAGCTGAGATGTGGGGAAAACCACCTTATTTGGGGACTTGCAAAAACCAGGAACTGTTTTCTGGTTTTGTTTATTTAAAAAAAAAACACACACACACATGCCTCTCTCACTATATCTGAACATCTTCTGAAGCAGCTTCGCATTTCTTTTAAGAGCTGGTTAAGCCCAAAGGAAATTTTTGGAGCTTTTTGTAATCTTTCCACCCCTTCCACCTCCTGCTCCCTTATTTGTTTGGTCAATGGAATTTCATCTGTCTGAACAGCTGCTGCCTGCCCCCATAACTCTCCTCCCCAATTAGGGTCAAAGCTCCTGCTTTTCCAAGCTTCTCCCATCTGCTTCCTGCTCTTTGGCTGTTTTTCCTGTTTGCTCAGGCCCAGGATAATACAAACACCTCCTCTAAGACAGGCAGAGCACAAAGAGAAAGAACAATGCAGCAGCCACAGCGGGAGTGGGGGGGAGGAGGAGGGAGGCTGCTTCCCTTCTGACCCCCACCCTCTCTCAAAAAGCTCCCTTTCTTCACTGAAAACAACAAACATTTTCTATTGTCTACCATTTCTCTGATAAACGCAGACAAGTCCGCATTTGACAAGTCTGTATTCAGCTGAACACTAATCCATGCAACCTCAGTGTTTTCTCTTGGAAGGTGGAGAAGGATTGCAGCCGCTTTTGTGTCCATTTCAACTGGACCCTCACTCACCGCCTAATTCTTTTAACTAGGCATGCCATGCTGTGGATGCCCAGAGTCAACAGCACAGCTCACACAAGACAGCTGAAAAATGAGGGGCTGCAGAACCTATAGATTTTTTTTTCAACATTTTCAAGAGTACAATGCAAACTGGCCAAAGCTACAAGCGTACTATATCCTTAACAGAGGTGATATTCAGCAGGCTCTGACCAGTTCTGGAGAAACGGTAGCGGAAATTTTGAATGGTTTGGAGAACTGGCCAATACCACCTCTGACTGGCCCCGCCCCCGTCTCTTCTCTGCCTCCCGAGTCCCAGCTGATCGGCTGGGTCTTCTTTACTTGCCCTGCACAGGAGAACGGAGCTGGAAAGCAGGTCAGTGGGGTGGGGGAGGGAATGGGGATTTTACAGTATCCTTTCCCCTGCCACGCCCACCAAGCCATCCCACGCCCACCAGGCCACACCCACAGAACTGGTAGTAAAAAATTCAACCCCACCACTGATCCCTACCACTTTCATAATGTTTACTTAGCTCCAAACAATTTGTCAGATTGTGCATTAGCATAAAACCAGTAACTGTGCTTTAGTGTGATGTGTGAATTAAGTCCTAGTATGGCCTTTCCAGGAAGAATAGTGTTTGTTTATTCTGATCAAGCTGAATATTCCAAGGGTCTTTAGAAAAGGATTCAACGTTGCAGATAACATTGCTCACCAATACGCTTAACACATCACAAGTAAGGAAACATTCTATTAGGGGGTAATCCGAGTATTCTAGGAAGGGAGACTGACTTCAGCAATACTTGGAATAGGCTCACGTTGGAATCTACCCAATTTCAAACAGAGCTCTGGGATGTTCCAGAAAATAAC